TTTTCTTCAAAATGCCAGACTCCAGTGATAGCTTTAGTGCCATATTGTAAACTGTGGAGATTCAGAAACTAAGTAGTTCAGATGAGCACAGTACAGTGAGGTAGCCAGGTAGGCAGGCAAAATTGTCAGGTATTAACAAACTCCCAAGAGAAGTCCGCAACAGTGCTAAGCTCTGAGCAACCAGTTCCGAATTTCAGTTCTGAACAATCCTTGCAAAACTTCTTTTCCTCTGGCATCCATTTCTAGAAAACAAAGCACAGGCATGTGCTATGATTTCATTTCCAGTGTCACAAGATATCATTTTCTTTCCAAAAGAGACGATTGCTCAGTCTTGTGTAACACTGAGTTGGAAGCCTTCTTGCAAATAACACCAGTGCACAATTTCACCCTACTCTTCCTAAACAATTATCTTATTAATTTCCTGGTCACACAGTCCAAAACAAGGTTCTGTATCATAAAGATGTAAGACCAGACTATTTTTACCAATTTCTGTATCCGCAGAAGCCCTCCTCATTGGTAAGATGTGTGTTTACAAGTGCCTCCAGGTAATGGTTCAGAACAACCAACTGCATGCTGTTACTCAGGAGCGCAAGAGATGTTTGTGTTGAGCTTCAAGTGCCTGGAGAAATTATGGTGAGACCATTCTAGGGTCTCAGAAAAAGGACAAGCTATTATGTCATTTCAGTTTGCAAATAAGAAAGGCTTTGATGTCATGGTAACTGAAGAAAACAGTTTTCAGGTTTTTGTTGCCTTCCACAGATTCTGCACTAGATCCTCAAAGGATGTGGTTACCATGTGGTTAAATTAGATGCATTTTAAACACTTTCCAAATACCTGTGTGCAGCCACTATGACTTCTGGCAAAATAAATAGTAATATGATGCAAATAAGCACCAGCTAAGTGATTTCTGGATTGTAATGCAAAAGATCTCTACAAATACACAGACCAATAATATGGGGTATGTATTCCCACTTGTACTGAGCATTTCAGAATGTCCCGGATGACCAGGAAGGAAGCTGCTCTTAACACAATTGTTGTTAATGTGTTTTTATCTTGTGGACATAAGCAATGGATGTAGACTCTGTTGGTAGTCTTTGCGGAGGGCTACTGTTCCAAGGCTTGAATTCTACGTATGATTTGGTTCTGAAAGGAAAGTTACTTTTTTATGTTTCTGCAGACATGACATCAGCAAGAAAGGCTTGTATGCTTTAAAAAAAGAAAGAAAGATTTTGGTACAGTTGGAAAACTTACCATGATAGGCTGGTAACAAGTCCATGTTGAAATGTTAACAAGTATTTATAGCTCTGCTGGATTTGGCTGGGGTAGGGTTAATTTTATTCATAGTAGCTCATATGAGGCTGTGTTTTGGATTTGTGATGGAAACAGTGCTGATAACTCAGGGATGTTTTCATTACTGCTGAGCAGTGCTTACAGGATGTCAAGACCTTTTCTGCCTCTCACCCCACCCCACCCCACCAGTGAGTAGGCTGGGGGTACACAAGGAGATGGGAGGAGGAGACACAGCTGGGACAGCTGATCCCAAATAACCACAGGGATATTCCATACCATATGGTGTTCAAGCTCAGCATATAAAGCTGGAGGAAGAAGAAGAAAGGGGGAACGTTTGGAGTGATGGTGTTTGTCTTCCCAAGTAACTCTTACTTGTGATGGAGCCCTGCTGTCCTGGGGATGGCTGAACACCTGCCTGACCATGGGAAAGGCCACAGAAATGATCAGAGGGATGGAGGACCTCTCCTGTGAGGAAAGGCCGTGGAATTGTTCAGCCTGAAGAAGAGAAAGCTCTGGGGAGACCTTATTGCAGCTTTTCAGTTCTTAAAAGGGGCCTACTTAAAAGATGGGAAAAGACTTTTTAGCAATAGGAGAAGGGGTAATAGTTTTAAACTAAAAGAGGGGAGATTCAGGCTGGATATGAAGAAAATATTCTTTACAATGAGGGTGGTAAAACACTGGAACAGGTTGCCCAGAAAAGTGGATGGTGCCCCATCCCTGGAAACATTCAAGGTCAGGTTGGATGGGGCTCTGAGCAACCTGATCTAGATGAAGATGTCTCTATTAATTGCCGGGGTGTTGGACTAGATGACCTTTGAAGGTCCCTTCCAGCCCAAACTATTCTATGACTATCAGTGGTGAATGAATTCCTCATTTTGCTTTGCTCTACTGTCTATCTCAAGCATGAGTTTTCTGATTCTCTTCCCCCATCTCACCTGGGGAGAGTGAGCGAGCACCTGAGTGGGGCTCTTGCCTGCTGGAGTTAAACCACAACAAAAACTTGTGGAGAACATATGAAGAACTAACAAATATGTCACATCAACCAGTTTCTTCTAGCAATAATGAGCAGTCTTCCTCATGTGAGTAGGGGTCTTCAGGATGAAGTAAGCAGTCTACCTCGTGATGTACTTTTCACCTTTGGATGCCCCAGTTATCACAAAACTAGCTGAAACCAGCCATATCTGTAATTCTTCTGATAGCTGGCAAAGATTTAGAACAGTGTGACCTTCCTGCAAAATTTATTGCAGGATGGGCAGACAAGGAGTATCCAAAGCTAGCAGATGTTTGGGAGGCACTGTCTCTAACTGGTAAGTAGAAGGATGGTGTGAAGTAATTCATTCATGTTTAGTGGGGCCACTAAATTCCACAGACTTACAACACAAACATTATTCTTTATCTTCAACCTAAATTAGGCTAAAAGTACTTTAACCCTATGTTTTCCAGGCATTAGCTTTTGTTATATCAAGCCCCACCCTCCCCACCCCCCTTTTCTTTTACCTTTACAAATTCTTTTGCTGTGTGACTCCATTTTGCTCAAGTTCTGGCCATTTTCAACTTATTGTGTCTTGTGTCTTTAGTGAGCTTTGCAAAATCATACAGTTATATCCACCTATGATTTGCAAAAGCCAATACATTTATGTGTTCATCACACACACATAGGGAGTTCATAGCCGTTTTTATTACTAGAGCCATAGCTCATTCTGATCATAGTGCATTACTAGTACTTCCCACATTTCAGTCTTCTACTGCAGGCACTGACTTTGTGGAAATCTGACTCCATAGGCTTTACTGGATTACTCATTACTCACAGGTAATGAGAAGACGACTAGGTTTTGAAAGTGGTTGGAATCTGTTGAGTGAGAGTCTAGACTGAAAAGAGCAAGTAGTTGGAGTGAAAACTGTTTCACCTACTGAACATAATTGACCATTCTAGCCACAGTAGTGAAAGCTTTATTCTCTTGCCAGTTTTAATCCCTCTGTACAAGTTTCTCTTATTCAGTCTGTTTACATGTCATGCTTTACATAGATCACTTTTTTCTCCTTATCCTTTTGTGATCTCAGGATGACTTACAAGTGCTCTTCCTCTTTTTTTTTTTTTTTTGGGGGGGGGGCGGTTTACAGCTGTTCAAATGAATTTACGTTTATGTCTTTTTTTCTGGAGGCAGACAGGAAAAGATTAATGTAAGCGGCGAGGAGAAGCAGACAGGCCAATCCGATATGGGTGATAAGCAACTTCTAGTTTATTTGTGACGCAGTTCACACATATATAGGAGTGGTATTCAGCCACTCCTTCTTGGCACAACAGTATTGGTTAGCCCCCCCACAGCTTCCTCCACATTCTCCTCCCAGGTCCGGTCTCCGGCCACCTGTGGGGGCCACCCCCCGCCTTGCTTGCACAGTCCTCCAGAACTCTATGGTTCTGCTCTTAGAGTCATTCTGCAACAGATTAACATTGTTCTTAGGGATCTTTCAACTTCACAGCTACAAGATATGCCATACACAATATATTGTCAAAATAGGCTTCAGCAAAGGAAAGTGTTTTCTTTGTGGCTACTAATTTTTTTTTAGTTTCCTAATCTTGTGATAAGAAAGTTATTCCGCTTTTTCTTGTCACACGGAGTGTGGGATTCTAAAGTTAGGTACATGGCAACATTTGCTCTGAGACGTTCTTATTGTGCATATTAATATTGTAACTGGTGACAAGATGGAATAAGGATGGCCTAGTTAAAATAGTGCTTTTAAGAAGTAATTACTGTTTTTTTTTCTTCAAGCAAAGGGTGGTCTGCATTTTACTACATTTCAAAGAGGTCCCCAGCTCATGTCTTGTCTCCTTCCTCGCTTTCCTACCCTCCCAACAGAAACTCATGCTAAATGCATTGATTGTATCACTTTTTCCTCATCTCTAGCCTGAATTTACTCCTGGACAGCTTATAGCTGGTAATTCTATATGACAGCTTTGTCATTCGGGTCCTCTGTAATGTTTTATGGAACCTGTAACTTGCTAGGCTGTGTGGATGATCAGTGATCTTGCTTGGTCTGCCACTCCTAAGAACCACTGAATGGTTTGAGATGGAAGAGAACTTCAAGATCACCCAGTTCCACCCCCCCACCCCCCGCCATGGGCTCGGGACACCTTCCACTAGACCAGGTTGCTCCAAGTCCCGACCAGCCTGAACTTGAACATTGCCACGGATGGGGCAGCCACAGCTTCTCTGGGCAACCTGTGACAGTGCCTCACCACCCTCACAGTAAAGAACTTACTCTAAATCTCCCGTTTCAGTTCAAAGCCTTTCCCCTTGTTCTAGCCCAACATGCCCGTGTAGAAATACTCTCCGGATTTCTAAAGAAATCCAGTGCCCCCTTTAGGCACTGGAAGCTGCTCTTAAGGTCTCCACTGAGCCTTCTCCAGGCTGCACAATCCCTGTTCTCTCAGCCTGTTTTCATAGGAGAGCTGCTCCAGCCCTTACCATCTTCTTGGCCTCTTCTGGACTTGCTGCCACAGGTCCACGTTCTTGTTACGTTGTGGAAGAAGCCACCATGAATCCCCCTCACCAGACACGCAGTGTACCTGCGAGTCAGCAGGTCACTACCGCCTAGAGCCCATCGCATGCTACCGCCCCGCGTGCACGCCCCTCCTGAGCCTGCAACCCGCGCTCGCCTCAGTCCCCCCAAGGCATTCCCCCGGCGGCTCCCGGAGGGGCTGTCGGTCCGTGGGGCGGCCCGGGCATGCTCAGTGGCTGCGGCCGGAGCGCCGGGGATTGGCGCTGGCCGCGGTCCCTGTTCCCTGCCAAAAGGGGCGGCAAGGAGGTGCCGCTCCGTGCCGGCCATTGCGGGCACGGCGCTTCTTCCCCATGAGCAGCCGGGAGGCGGAGGGCGCGGACAGTGAGCAGGCCGCAGGTGTGGGGCGTGGGGAGTGGGGCGTGGGGCGGAGAGGGGCTGCTGAAGGGGATGGGTGCCGCTGAGCCCCGCAGTACCGCTGTCACCGCGTGGGGTAGGGTCCTCCGGTGTAGCCGGGACTGCTCTCCTGCGTGCGGGGAGCAGCATGTAGGTACGGCTCGACCCCGGGCCGCGGGGCAGAGCTTCGGCTCGGATATTAGCTTTCAGACTTGATTGGCAAACTGTGTTTCTCTCTGTCAGCTTGTAACACACCTTTCCGTTTTCATTTTCCTTGGTAGAGGATGGCATGCCAGGAGCACTTGGTGGGGAATCGAGAGGGCTTACCAGGGAGCAGCTATTTACAATGGCTGCGACAGCTTCTATAAACTTCAGCTCAATGATATGCTATTCAATCCTGGGACCCTTCTTCCCTTCCGAGGTAAATGATTTAGCCAGCTGCTCTTTAGATAATTTTCATTTTATGCATTTTTGCTGCATACTGGGGCTTTTGAAAGGTTCCTTAGCACCTTGGGACCTTGATGGCAGTCTGTGAGTCCAGGTTAGGCTTTTCAGTTGTGGGAATTTGTAACCTGGCCTAATGCTGGCTAAAATAGATTTCAGTGTATGTAACAGTGACCTGGATCTTGTCCATGAACTAATTTCACCTTCCTATGGCTGCAAAGGAGACAGCAAACTGATGATATGATATAGAACTTGAAATGGATGCTTGGATAAGTGAAACAGTTTTTTGCCCAGTGCTGGATAGCAGTTTGATGGTAGAGCTAAGATTAAAACTCTGCCCGTGCCCTGACTTGTATTTCAGTGCTCTAGCGACTCAGTGACCTTTTATTTATAGCTACCTCTCTATTAACTCATGCTGGGCCATTATTCACTGTGTTAAATTCCTGACCTAGCAGCTGGGGGGGTGCGGGACAGGAGGGGGTATAATTTCTGCTTACGTTGAGTGAATACAATATTTAAATGTAGGATGAAAAAAAATAGTCACAGTGCCTTCACAGCAGAAGGCCATTTCTGTCATGATCAAGTTGTTCCCAAGGGTTAACAAAGAAATAATAAGTTTATTTTTGCTTCAAATCCTCCTATATACTGTTTGTATCCAAGTAAGTGTATTTTGCCAGTTGGATAAGTAAAAATTTGCCTGGTGCTTCTTACGGATAGGCATGGTACAGAGAAGATAACAGGGACCTCTGTTCACTGCCCTCTCGCCATGCGAGGGATCAAGGCTTTGAAGCTAGCTCCCTTGCACCAGCTGAAGCCACCTGTAAAATATCTGGTTACCTGTTCAGTAGTTCAGCAAACAGCACAGTGTTCCACTTCTTTCAGGAAAGAGTATTGCTTTTCCCTTGATTACATGTAGCTTAAATAGAAGTGCAAGATGTCTTTAAATTGTTGTGTTATTAGGTTGTGAGTTCCTGCTGCTTTTGAGAAAGGAAATTACTTTGTAACTGCACTAACAGAGAATTAAAAAAAAATTGAATGTACAAGGCATCAGTGTTACTCACCTCAAGAGCTTGCCTCCATCTTTACACCGTTGTGATCTTTTTTTCCAGGCAGAAAAAAAAGGTGCCAGTAACACCATTGTTGGCCTGATTTTTGGATGTTTTGCTTTGGTCAATTTCTTGTCTTCTTTAATCTTAGGAAATTATGTAAGTATAATTGAGGCTGTAACTTATTTCTGTGATGGCACAGGTTGGTACATGAAGACACTCCTCTAAGGCTGAGAAAAGAGTTGTCTCTTCAGTAGCAGTCCTGCAGGCTTATGCCTGCAGTGACTGGAGCCTGGCCAGTCAGTCTGAATCTGGGCTAAGTCTTGTCAGCTTAAAAATTACTCTTCTACAGTTCTCAAAAATAGAGAGACATGGGATGGTGGACAGGTAGCACTTCTGTTTCTCTGCTTAACAGAGACATGTAGCACTTCTGTTTCTCTGCTCTGTTCTGTTTGCTTCAGAGTAATCTGCTGATCAGTTCTCCTTTTCTATTATTATATTGTTGGGTTTTGGGTTTAGTTTGGTTTTCTTCTTTTTCTTTTGGTATGTTGTCTTTTTCTTAACATTTCCTCCTATTATGACTCTGCTGCTTGAGTTTTCCTTTCCGCTCCATTATACAGCCATATGAGCTAAATGTCTCCAGTTCTTGCAACTTTAGTTTTCCCACAGATTCAGAATATTTCTGATGATGAAGAACTTACAAATAAATTATGTAACAGCTTGTTTGTTTATATGCTGGAGCACTGCTTTCTGTGCATTTTTGGCTAGGATCATACCCTAAGTTGTGGCTGCTGTGCTGTCAGAGTCTTCTCTTTCTTTGCTAAGCCAATGGTGAATGTTTTTCTTTGATGATTAGGTGGCTTATCAAAGTGTCACACAGGTGCCATTGGTAAGTCCAGCCTCTGTGCCTCTAATGGCATTCAACTATGGCACAACTCTCACCAAGTTCTTTGCAGGGGAGAGAGAGCTAGCATGCCATCCTTATTGCAGACAGGTGAAATGAGCAGCAATAGAGGTGGACGGTCCAGCAATCAGAAACCCTGAGGGTTTCAGTGAAACTTGGCAAAATACGGGCTTTAGTAATAATGGCTGAAACACAGGGACTTTGTCCAGGCCTGAACAAGAAGAGTCTGAAATACCTACTGTCCTTAGGGGAAGTTGCAGCAGGGAATTAGAAGCTCAGATATACTTTGTTTTGGGATTGAGTTAGCTTTGTAGCATGCCTTTTGTTACCCTTCACTCTGGCAATGGAGTCTGAAATGAAGGAAGGTGTGAGGTCCTTTCCATGGTAATGAATGGGAAAGCCTGAAGCTACTGGCCTTCCTCAGTCAAAGCTTTATGCTATTAAAGATTATGATAAATTTGCTTTGAAATTGGCTTCCATTGACTCTCCTAAGCTATATACATGAAAGGTATTGCTAACTTGGCATTACAGATGGTGCTGGAGAGGGGATTTATTACTTTATTTACAATGAGTAATGCTGCTGTAACCTGCTGCTCTGCAGAAGCTGCATCACTGAGCTGTGAAACAGTTAACTTCACCATTGTCTCACTATTCTGAAAACTGGGTTAAGTCACTTAACCCTTCAGAGTGTTTTTATGTTCAGTATTTCATGAAGACACAGTGGCAGGAGCTGTATCTCTAGATCTTTTAGTTGCACATGCTATAAAGTGCCGATAATGTTTTGATTTCTTAACAGTAACTTACTTTGAAAGAATGTTGATCTAGGCTTGAAATAATAACATGTAAAAATGGCATTTAATTTACAGATTACGCATATTGGAGCAAAATTCATGTTTTTGGCAGGGATGTTTGTCTCGGGATGTGTGACCATTCTGTTTGGGTGAGTAATTTTTGTTGGTTGTTTTGGTTGTGTTTGTCTTCTAATAATTCTCATCCGTATGAAAAGATGGACACAAAACAAAACTGGAAACTCTTGTGCATCTTTTGGGTGTTGATTAGGTCACCTGACTTTTTGATCTTTACTTTTTCCCTACCCCTTATCAAGCAAAATTTCAGTAGGTTTCAAAGCCTGTTTACTAATTTGAAAGAAAAGAAGGAAGGTTCTATGTGTTTAAGTTACTAATATAGTTCATAAACAGTAAGAAGTCTGTCAAAGTGCAGCAATAAAGGAACTACTTATGCATAATGTTGTAATTACTCTTTTCTTAAAAATATTGAGTGCAAATGAGAAGCTTTACCTGGCAGGCAGAGAGGCTAAGCCACTCATTTTAGCAAAATGAAAGTTTTATTAACAATGAGGAAGCTCTTTTTAGGTAGTTGAACGTCATTGCTTCAGACTCCTTGCACAGTTGCTTGGAAAAGCTGTGACATACAGCAGAAGATGGCATTTGAGTTTTTCACAGGTTAGTTTTTTTTGTGGTATTTTCACCACCAAAGAAAGGGGGAAGGACAAAGTTGCCAGAAATAGTTTGGTAGAGTTTGAGATACTTCACTGATGTGATTCGAAAAGATGTGGCAATAGATGTGTCCTTTAATGAGTAAAAAATGATGCTCCAGGGCCTTTAGGAGATAGCTTGTTGCATACTGAGAGATCTACATTTATTGTTTTGGGATTTTTTCTTTTTTTCAGAATGCTGGACAAGGTGCCAAGTGGACCAATGTTCATTGGTTTGTGCTTTTTAGTAAGAGCAATGGATGCAGTAGGTTTTGCAGCAGCAATGACAGCATCGTTTTCAATCCTTGCAAAGGCATTTCCCAATAATATAGCTACTGTCTTGGTAAGTGCAAAAAACAGTGCTAGAGCCAAGTACCCACAATATGATAAATTGCCAGTAGGAAGCCTAAAACCAGGAGGAGAAAATCTGCTGTCTTATGTGCAGGCATATTTGAAACCATAACATAATGTTCGTTTTTAATTGAAAATCCAGGATGGGGCATCCACATCTTCTTTGGGCAACCTGTTCCAGTGCCTCCCCGCTTTCACAGTAAAGAATTTCTTCCTTATATCTAACCTAAACTTCCCCTGTTTAAGTTTAAACCCATTACCCTTTGTTCTGTTGCTACACTCCCTGATGAGGAGTCCCTCTCCGGTATCCTAGTTAGCCCCCTTCAGATACTGAAAGGCTGCTATGAGGTGTTCATGCAGCCTTCTCCAGGCTGACAGACCCAATTTTCTTAGTTGGTAGATTAGATTAAGCGAAGTGCATGCTAGGGTAAAATCATAAAACCTAAAGGAATGGATGAGCGTGTTTTAGCCTTGCTTTCCATTGCCTTTCTTGATAGTGCTAGATACTAAAAAGCACTTTTCCTCTCCTTATCCTTTTGGTACCAGTTTTCAGCCCATCTTTTACCCATTGGGTACCCTAGGGAATGTATGGGGAAGTTACTAAATGTAGGTATGTCAGTCCTGAAGTGGGAAGTTCAGCATCTGTCAACATGATCACTCTGTTGTAGGAGGTATGATCTACAGAACATAAACAATACCACTTTTCTTACAGTATCAGGTTTACCTTTCCCTGTTCTGTAATAATGCGATGCCTCAGTTCCCCTGCATCCCAATAATTCATTAACATAAAAGGGCTAAATGATGTGCAGCCTGTTTTGAACTGCTGTCTCCCTAAGTATTTTTTATGGTTGGTGAATGTCGTGGTTTAAAGAACCAAAGTATAGGGATTAATCCTCATCTTTAATTTTACTGATTTAAGCAAGTCTAAAATTTCTTGATTTTGAGACATTTTGGTAAACTTCAACACATGTAGTGCCCATGAGTTAACATAACTGCATCCAGATAATGCTTTTATTTCTGTTGTTCACTGTCCTGGGTTCAGGATATAGTATGTTTCTGGGTCCCAGAAGTTAGCAAAACTTTAATTGTAAGCAGTTTCTACCACCAGCTCTTACTGGTGGTTTAAGCATTCATTAATCAAATGTTGAGGCAGATGCTTACAGTGGTGACTATGATGGTGTAGCACAAGATTTAAGCGTAACTGTATTATTGGACTTTTAAAACTCAGTATCTTATAAAAGATGCCAGATTATTAAATTATGGCCAAAATAACCTGAGTTATCCTATTGCAATTTCACTGTTATTTCTTACTCCTAGTCAGTGAATCCAAACAGTTGGTTATGGAAATAAAGCTTTAACTTGCCACATGTACCCTTGTGTATCTCATTATTCCATGAGATAATGACCCATCCAGATAGGCTTGTTTGGGTCATCCCCATCAGGCTGGAGTGTAACAGCAGGTTGGAGAGATGATCACTTCAGCCTGAGTTGTCCTACAGATGCTTTCCGTCACTAGAGCATTTTTCTTGCCTCAGGACTGGGATCTGTTAGGTGGCAGCAGGGTGGGTAATGCTGCAGTACAGGTGGTTCCCTGTAGTGAGGCAAAGAGGGACTGGCTTTGTTGGGGCACAGTGTTGTCTACCTCACTTTGTGAAGGTCAGTATTAGCTGTTATCCTCCTTGGTCATGCAGTGTTTTTTTCCTTTCTCTAGCCTGATTATGTTGTGCTGCTCCTCAGAAAAAATGGCTTGCTTTTCATTGTTGCCTCAGTTTCTCAGCATACAGATTTTTCTTGCTGTCTTTTTCATCCTTTAGGGCAGCCTTGAAATTTTTACAGGACTTGGACTGGTACTGGGCCCACCTTTAGGTGGCTTTTTGTATCAATCATTTGGTTATGAAGTCCCTTTCATTACGGTGGGATGCGTAGTGTTGGTCTTGGTGCCTGTGAATATGTGCGTATTATCAAAATACGGTAAGCATCCTTCTTCCTACCTCCTTCACTCACTGTAATTTCTCATGTTCTTAACAGTCCTTTAAAAAAAATCACTTCTGAAGTCTGATCCAACTCAGAGGGCAAAGCTCCAGCTGAATTAACTTGTGATCTTGATCAGACCCATGTTTTAATGCTAAGCTAAATTAATGTGTGCAGGTGGCCTGGAGTGAATCTGAGACCTCATGCCCATCCCTGCAAACACTAAGGAATCTGTGTGGAAGTGAACTGGGATATACTTTTGTTTTTTTTTCGTCTTCTTAACTTCAGAGCTTGTAAAGGATCAGTTCTGTCTGCTTAGTATCAGCTGGTCATTGCAGATAGTTGAAGAAAAGCTGGAGATAGGTTTTGCCTAAACTGAGAGCTCAACATGTTTGAGTGGTTAAAAGTGGGGGAAAAACAGAATTACTGGAAGATCAAAAGGGGTTTATTTGTACTCACTGATGCAGGATCTCAGTAACATGAAAGAATGTTAAAGTTAATACATGAGGGGTTTAACTGAAGTGCTGGAGGTCATACAAATTATATCCTAAATATGGTATGATATATCATATCAATCATATGATATTACTAGCCAGTTTGGAACTATGTTAAATAAATGTTAGCTCTGAGGTGGTGGATGCTAATGAATGAACTTTTAGTTCTATCTATACTTTGAGACCACATTCAACTATTAAAGCACCAACCGCATCAGGAAGGGAGCCTGACTTAGAAATGACATCTAACCATGACATCTGAAAGAACCTTCCTGTCTGTAGCACAAATTGAACATGTAAAAGACCCAAATGACTAGACAGATTTCAACTGATAAATGGCAATCTTTTTATTTTCCTTTCAAAGCATGTTTCTGATTGGACATGAATGGTTCATGCATGTGTGCAGGTTGTGTTGAGACGTATCCATGAAGTTTTCATTGTGTAAGGACTAGCGGAGAAGTAATTGTATTTTCACATAGTTGAAATAGTACATGCTTTTTGTTCTTTGGGGATTTGCAGTGTTGGAATCTAAACTGTACTTATTTATCAAATTTGGGGTTTCAATATAAAAATAGTATAATGCATAATAGTCTACTCTTGACTTTTATTTATTAGGTAATAAACAATATAAAAGAGAAATACTGATTTATTTTCTAAAGCAAGAAGATAAATCATAAGCTTACGCTGCTTAAAATAATACAATTTCCTATTTCTATTGAAACAGATTCAGTCCCTAGCAAGGACTCCTTTTGGAAGCTCATTCTTCTGCCAAAAGTCTTACTACTCTGTCTTACTATATTTTCTCTAAGTGCATGCTTGGGCTTTTTGGATCCCACAATGTCTCTATTTATCCTAAAGAAGGTAAGTCCTGTTAATATGCAGGGGAGTCTTGCTAAATAGTAAATAACTGGTTATAATTTTGTTTAGGATATTTAAACCATATTTAAGCCATATCCAATTACACTTCTTTAATTAACTGTTAAGAATATGATTTCCAAATAACATGATTTCCACAGTACTGACTAATCTCAATTCCATTGACACCATCTGTTGCCACTGGGTCTTGGTAACTGTGAGAATGAGGGAATGTAAGGCCTTCAAAAATGTGCTTTTCCCACTTAATTGGCTTTCGATGCAGAGAACCTTCTCCGAACGGGGAATAGCAGCTGGTTTTGCAAATGAGGGACTTTTTTCCTCTTTTCTGAAATCAGATTCTGTAAAACTGCAACAGTTGCTGACAGTGTTCTGTCCCTTGGTATGGACATTTTCCTTTGGGGACGTGATGTCACAGCTCTGCCTTGTCTGGCAGGTGTGCTAAAATTAAATTGATTGCAACTATGTAGCCTGCCAGCTGACTTCTTCACTCACTTATTAAAAAGGCAAATGTCATTTTATTTTTAATTTATTTGACTATTTATTTACTCGTTTCCTACTTGATTTTATTTATTTATTTTCCCAATGGTGTTCGAGATACTGAATTTGAAGTAAACTGTTTAAGATTCTGTTCCTGTGTGAAACTAGCCAATGCTTTTTGAGTGGTTTATTTGTTATTTGTTTTTCTAGGATATAGCATTTCACAAGTGGTTGTGATCCTTCTTTTTGTCTGTCTAGTCCAGCACTTAGAGCACTCATCCAGGGTGGAGGAGACTTGGTGCTAGCCTCTTCCATCAGTGGATATGCGAATGTACGTCTTCCATCACCCAAGACAGATCTGTAATTTTGCCACTGTAGAATATTGTGCAATTGTGTGGCTCTTCTGCTTTCCCTATGCTCTGTGCTAACAGACACTTGCTGTGAAAGGGCTGTAGCCTTCTTGGCAGGTGTTCTAACCACTAAATTAGAGTTATTATTATGTGCTTGCACATGGCAAGGAAATAGAGAATATTTATGTAGTCCATGCCACATGAAACACCTTCCAATACCTTCTAACTGGTAGTTAAAGAACTCATTTGAGAGATTAGTATGCTTTTGTTTCATTACACGTTTTGTCTCAATACAGAAATGTGGTTCTGCATTAGGAAAATGTAGACCTCAGGGTGTGTGCAAAAAACCTGTTACTTATTCTAATAAAAATCCTCCTTTGATTGAAAAGCCACAGTAGTGTCTTATAGCACTGCTTGCTTTTAAGATGCACTGATCAGTGTTAGATGATTACAATTATGCTTTTCTAAGTGGAAATAAAACTGAAGATTGTAGGGGTAAAGACTAAATCCATCTAAATTTCACTGTCTGAAGTGTCTGTTTCAAACGTGCCAGATAATGATAGAATCCAATGTGCTGGTGTAGGGACATAGCATAGTGTTTCCTCCTGAGTTTATTTAGGCTTTATGTGTGTCAGGTATTTTTCACTCCGTGGTTAGAAGTGGAAGGAAATGACTTCTGCTGGTGACTTCAATTGCTTGAAAAACCTCTGTGCAGTGTCAGTAAAATACTTACAATCATGCATTTCAGTATTTTGACCTAAAAAATATAATTCTTAGATTGTCTTTTAAGGAATGTAGCATATATGGTTTGATGTTTTGGGGTTTGTTTTATTTGTCTTCCTTTTCATAGTTCAAACTCCCAGCTGGTTATGTAGGCTTGGTGTTCCTAGGTTTGGCACTCTCGTACTCCCTGTCTTCTCCCCTCCTCGGACTTCTAAGTGACAAACTGCCAGTGAGTACTCTACCCTGCTGTTTGTGGAGGGGTAGTAAAGCATTCTGTGCATTTAGTTAAAACTGGATCATTTCCCATTTTGGAGCAACGGATGAGCACCTCATCCTATAAAGGGATGTCTTAGGACCTTGCATGAGCACTGAATACTGCTCACTTGAATGTCTCTTTTGCAAGGTCCGCATAATACAAGAACATATAAAATAGTAAAAAATGTTGGACAATAATTCTGTAGTTGAAATGTGTTGAGCTTTTCCAGTGGACTAAGCATAATCTATTTCCAGCCAGTGTGAAATGGAGAGTAGGAGATTATATCCCACTTATCCATGCTTTTGACCAGATCTAATTTTATCAGCTTTAGAGAAGAGGAGTAAAGATGTTTTGCTTAGCTGTAGTGACTTTACCTCTTAAAAAGTGTAATATCCTAATTAGATCAGCACACCAACTGGCTATGGTTTTCTAGTTCTTAACTGCACCATAGAAGGACACTTTATACCTTGAAATGCCTGGTTGACAGCTACTGCTCAGTATTCAAGGAAACCTACAATTTGAATGCTGTGCATGAAGGATAGCATCAGTTTTCTGGCACTTATTGTTTCAATAATGGCCTTTGTATATGAGAATTACATGCAGTGCTGCATGATATTTCTTATACTAAGGAAGAGTAAGGCCTAAAATACTTTGCTAACAGAGCAGCACCGTTACTCAGCATCCTGAAGAAATCTTGGTGTTAGGCAGCTGCTGCCAGTGTCAACATTGATGAGGAAACATGAATTCTTTGTTTCTTGGTGGTATTCAGAACTGGCAGAGAAACTGTGAATTCCCAGTTTGTGTGTAATGGTCTCTGCAGGATCCGTACTTTCAGGAGATGGGGATTTAGAAGAAGGGTATTAGGAGAAACAAAATAGTTACATTACAAATTCACATCTTTAAAATACATACCTCTTTCTTTCACAGTACCTCAGGAAGTGGTTGCTGGTATCTGGAGGCTTAATGACAGCCCTGTGTTTTTTCATGTTAGGACCTGCTCCTGTACTACACATTGAAAGGTATGGAACTGCCACTTCTTCAGCCTATCCCCTTTTGTGATGTTTTTGTGATAGATGTCGTAACCATAGTCATGAATGTCTACAGTCTATAATTAGTACCTCTGATCATGAAACAGGGTTTTTGTTTAACTACTAACATGAAACTACCAATATAAAGCAGAGAAAGCACCTGAAAATGGAGATTTTACAGCTTCATAAAACAGATACTTTTTCTTTGCTTTTACTGTTACTATTTGCTCATGTGTATGGTGGGAAGAATGCTGCTGCTTATTTTTTTTGCCTTCCAATTCTATGCATTTCCACTGCAGCAAAACAAAGTTATATTTTCTGTCTTATTTTTCAGTTTTCTCTCTTTCATTAGTGTTTCTTAACTAGGGGGTTTATTTGCATGGTTCTGCAGCAGTAGTTTTTGTTCTCTCTGTATATAGCTTACTGAGGGAAAACACCAGTTTTCAGCTAGCTAAGTAGAGACAGTGTCTGTTGCACTTGAACACTGAATTACTGTATCTCTCAAGTTAATTCACAGCAAAACATTCTGCTACATTTACAAAGCAACTGTACAGTCCTTTTGTCCTTGGTTATATACTCTGTTAAAGATGCTGATAGGCTTGCAAATGTGCAGAATTAGTCAACTCCTTCCTCCTAGATTCCTAATTTTTAAAAAGGTCACACACTTGAAATTGGTGAGATAATACATTGAGCTGGTGAGAAAATCAGTAAAATCTTTGAGGTTCTTTTGTTTAGCTATGTCTATTTGGTTATAATGTATTAGGCTATAAAACTTTAGCTTCAAATTCTTCACTTAGTCTGTGCAACAGGCTAAGCCTGGCACTTGGATATATGATTGATGAGTTAAGCTCATCTGTCTACCTCTTCTCTGTGTGCTCCTCTTAAAATGAGCTGCATTCGATAAGGAAATACTTCATTTGAGCACAAGATATTAAAATTCTTTTACAGTCTTTTTTAAGCATAAAACTGTATTTTTCAAGTCTTAGTGTTCAATTAGCGTTCTTTTTGTCTTCAGGGAAACTATTTTTTGGTCAGTCATGGAGAGCTGATGTAAGCCTTCAGACAGATGGGGTCCTTTCTTCAGCAGCTAACTTCTTTTAAATGTCTCTTTTTCAGTCAGCTGTGGATGTTTGTGCTAGTGCTGGTTTTGGTTGGGTTTTCCCTTGGCATGAGTGCTATCCCAGTTTTTCCAGAGATACTGCAGTGTGCATAGTAAGTAACTCCATCCAACACATCTTTCATGTTACTGACAGTAGGAAACTGCAACTAGTTTTCTGGGGTGAATATGAAGTAGTGTTTTGGTGTGGCATTTTTCCTCCATTTTGAGACAAAGGCAGTGAATAATACTTAAATGCTTCCACTACTCTTTTGTCTTAACATTTTCTGACTGAACACCCCAATCATTATACTCCAGATGATCCAAATTTAAATTTGTAAATGTGTACCTCAGTACTGTGAACACATTGAAGTCCATCAGGCTTTGGATCTCATAGCATGATGTGACCTGTGCGTGGTTTCATATACGTAGGAATTATTTCAGCTTCTGAGGACAATTAATAGCAAGCAGTTTTCACTGGATTTTCAGACTACATTGGCTTTAACAGCTGCACCTAACAGAACCATACTTGGCCAAAGTACAAGGTCTGTGATGTGGCTTGGCAGTAATGACCTGTAGAAGGGTCTTGATTTACTCTTTACTACTATGTTTCTCTTGGAACAAGGTCTTTCCTTTGTAAAAGCTACCTGTCACTGTTCTTCATTTGCCACATGAAACACAGGGAATAAGTGGTGGTGTGATGTTAGGAATCTTACTTGGCAGACATCAGAGATGAGGAGCAGCACGCAGTACTCCAGAGAGGCAGCAAAGAAGAAGGTTCTGGGTAAACAGGCATGATTCCACTGTACACTTTTGCTTGTTAACTATTTATATTGTATGTAAATAAAAAGGAGGGAAAAATCTATAGGGGAAGGCTATAGACTGAGACACAATAATGTATTTTATTGCTGTAACTGGTCTGTCTTTCTGCAGTGATAATGGATTTGAAGAAGGTCTGAGTTTGCTGGGACTGGTGTCTGGGCTCTTCAACGCCATGTGGTCCCTTGGGTAAGTATACCGTCACCTTTTTTGTAAGCTGTGAGCATTTGCTTATTCTTCACTATTGCCACACAAGAGCCTGCTGCATTACCACCAGAAGTCTTGCACTGCAGTCATTGTGTTGACCTTGATTCAAAAGGTTCCTGCTAAACAGGTGCCTGGTGGGCATGTTAAAACAAAGCTTTTTATGCAATAAAAGGAATGGACTCTGAACTTGTCTTCCTTTGAAATGTATTGTTGTTCATATCAGAAACCTGCAGTGATTAAGTGGATGTTAACTTGTGCTTCTGTGTGGTCATTTTGCTTGTCACTGAAATATTTAATGTTTAATAATACAAAGAGGGGTGGACCCTAATTTTTTACAAAGCTAAGTCCGTGCACATGGACTGACCTAGAAAGTATCTGCTCCTGACTAATTCCATTCTCCCTTTTTCGTTTTCCATGTTTCCTCCTTTTGTCTGGAATAGCTTAGGGTAGAATCTTCTCTTTCAGCCACAGCCATTATTTAAGGTCTGTGTTTGTGTAGCTTAGCAGAGTGTGTCTCTGTTTATTACTCAGTGGCTGTTACAGAAATGAGTGAAAGGCACTACTGGCTGAGTGACCCTTCGAGCTGTCACTCAGTGGGAAGATTCTCCCCTTTGATAGCCACGCCCAGGATTTTTTTACCTGTCCTGTTTACCTGTCTTTGTGGCTGCAGGTAAATTCTCACCATTTTTTACCAGGCTAACTGAAGTTCTAGCTGTCCTGTTTATTTGGCATAGAGTACAGTACAGATATAGGTAGAATAAATTCACCAAACCCCAGTTTTATGCTGTTATCAAACCTGGTTTTATTACATGACTTGGTACCAGGAAGTCTCCCTAGTTTTACACAGTTTTGTCCCTTTCTGTAGCAAGAGACCATATCATTAGGCCTTTCATAAAGTGACAGCAGCTGTGTAACCTTTCATGACATTCTTAGGCACGAAGGTGCAGGACAGTTGCACACAGCTCAACCTTGCAGTAACTGCATCTGTCACAATATGCCTCCCTACCTGCCTATATCCATCAGTTTGAGGGATGAGAGTTTAAAGTTCTTTTATGATAAAATTGATTGGTTAGATGCCTGGTAGCACATAGTCCTTAATGGGATCTCTAAACCAGTCTAGATACAGGAAAGAGTGCATTCAGCTTTCTGATGTGGATCTTATTTCCAGGTGAAAAGGTAACTAGACAGGTCTATTGGAGACATAGCAAACAGAGTATTAATAGTTACTGTGGATTATAGGAAAGTTAGGTCTGTGGAAGACAATCTCTTTGTTGACAGAGGAGAGAGAATCAATGGAGGGAGGCCACAAAATGCAATAAAGAAGTTCTCTGAGAATGCAGTATGTTATCTTTTCTGTTTGGGATGCCAATACGTCATTTTGATTTGCTGTAGGGCATTTGCAGGTCCCACTCTGGGAGGATTTCTAAATGAAAAGCTGGGTTTTGAATGGGCCTCAGCCATCCAAGGAGGATGGGCACTGTTAAGTGTAAGTAATTACGCATTTTTTGCTTTTTTTGTATCTGTTGCAATTATGGGCTATTGCATAAGGTTGTTGTTATTATTACAATTATAACTGACTGTTTCCTCAAAGGGTCTTGCAACTGGAATATTCTATATCGCTGAGGCAACAAAGAGAAGGTATGCTGAGATATTTATTCTTCATTTTACTTGCAGCCAAATAAAGCAAACCTTTGAAAGGTGTGCTTCCATTTTTTCCTCACTACCAACCTGATAATGAATAACAAGACAAGCAGTAAAAATATCACTTAAATACTTTGTCTCTATGCTTTCCTAAATTCATGCTGACTTAAACAGAGACCTAAACTAGGCAATGCTTGTTCTGTACAAGCAACAGGACTGTGGCATTAACAAGCAAACCTTACTGATGGTTCCTCCACGAGGGTGTCTGTGAGCTGGAATTGACTGGATAGTTGCACTCAGGGAGTAGTGGCCAATGGCTCAATGTCTGGATGGAGGTCAGTGATGGGTAGTGTCCCACAGGGGTCCATGTTGGGACCAGTGCTGTTTAACATCTTCACCAATGACATAGACTGTAGGATTGAGTGCGCCCTCAAAAAATTTACAGATGGAGGTGTTGGAGCAAGTCCAGAGGAGGGCCACGAGGATGATCAGAGGGCTGGAGTACCTCCCGTATGAAGACAGGCTGAGAGAGTTTGGATTGTCCGGCCTAGAGTTTAGATTGCCCAGCTGCTATAAGGGGTAATTTGTAGCAGCTTTCCAATACTTAAAGGGGGCTTACAGGAAAGATGGGGACGGGCTTTTCAGCAGAGCCTTTTGTGACAGGACAATGGGTAATGGTTTTAATCTAAAAGAGGGGAGATTCAGGCTGGATGTGAGTAAAAAAAATCTTTACAATGAGGGTGGTGAGGCACTGGCACAGGTTGCCCAGAGTTGTGGATGCCCCATTCCTGGAAATGTTCAAGGTCAGGTTGGACAGGGCTCTGAGCAACCTGATCTAGTTGATGATGTACCTGCTCGTTAGGACTAGTTGACCTTTAAACATCCCCTTCCAACGCAAACCATTCTGTGATTCTGTGAAGTGACAGGTGTGAAAGCGATAGTACGTACTTCTCTGCAATGGTAGGGAGCCAAATCCAGTGATCCACATAGCTCTTTCCATGTAATGTGTGGCTTTTTGCTATAATGTTGATATTGCACTGAAGTATTTAGAGAATATTAAACTTGTTTCTTTGCTTCTGTTTTTTTGCTTGTGCAAACAGTTCCAGTTCCAGCCTGCAAAATCCTCCTGGTACTAATGAAGAAAGAACTCATCTGATGAGCAGTGAATCATAGCCAGACATACTTTCAATTCTCAGTTTACTATTGTGGTTTTACCAGTTATTGACATGAGTGGACTTAAAAGTATTCCATTATTCTGGAGCTGGGATACATGATCCCTTAGTGAACAACCAGTTGTGGTTTAGTTACAGCTTTATTACTGTTTTGAAACACTGAACACTGACTTTCTTTTGAAAGTCTTCGCGTGGGTTGGCTGAAGTGATGAGTAACCCTCAGATGTCAGCATGTTTATTGTGTTCCATGTACAGTACAGCACTGTATGTGAAAGAAGTGTTTTCAAATGTCTGGTTTCTACACTTGGGCCTGCTGTGCATTATTCTTGGGTAAAGCTACTATTTTGCTACTATGATTTTCTGTATTTTTTTAAAGAATGTTCATTATCTTGTAGTACTTTAACTGATAAAGTTAAAACAGAATTTGAAATGACAAAGCATTAAGCACAATATTTTTTTCAATAAAGCAACCTTTTTTCCTAAGTTTTGCAGATTTTCTCAAACCAAGTCTGAAAGACTTTGTGTCTATCAACATTTGTATTATCCTGAAAGTGCCTGAAAATGGGAGGCAAAGGTAATGAAGAGTTAGCGTCTCTACACAGAACTAACTGATCTTCAGTCCTGGAGGAGACTTGGCATCGTGTGTATACATATACAAAGAGATATGTTTGTATTATGTATGAAGACTCCACTTGAGTTTGTGAGATCTATGTCACTAATAAATGCCAGCTGGAATGTTTGTACTAGTCGCCTCTGCAACAGTAGGTCTATCAAAAGTCTAGAGCTATTATTTTCCAACAGTGGGGAAAAAAAAAGTACCTTCTCACTTTCTCCAGGTGTTCAGCAAAACAGCTCAAGGGGAGCTGGGACAAGGGCATGCCTGGCATATTCACAGTAGACCACCTGACCTCAGCTGTGGGAAACATCATTTAATTTGTTCTGGAGCCCACAGCTCAGCCTTAGAAAGGGTTCTGTGTGCTACCTGTTTTTCTATAAATAGTACGAAATGGTCTTGCCTTAGCAACTTACAATGGGTTTCTCTTGTGAGTAGCTGCTGGAATTACATGATAAGTACTTCTTTGTCTGCCAGAGCCCTTCCAGGGGCAAGCAAGAACTGCTCTGGTAGCCAGCTGAACTGTGAAGCATCAGGGTATCAAAGGGCAGGCTTCCCCTGCTAGCACTCTGGCAATAGATCTCTTTCCTTTTGTATCAGGTGTTAAGACTTTACTAAAACCTCAACTTATGATGAAGTGCTGACTCTGCCAGTTCCAATGGTGAGGCAGGTGAGAAGGAGCTGAGAGGGCTGGAGGTAGGTGTGAGGTGCACAAGATGCAGACTTGTAGACAGGAGACTTAATTAGCTCTCTTTGTGAAATGTTTGCTTACCTGACTTGTGCTGTTAGGACTTGAATTGGCTGGGATTGCCAGAAAGAGCACAAATGCCTTTGAAATTAGAGCTGTCCTGCAATGCATGAACTGGAGCAGACCTCTAGTAGAAACTAGAAAGGCCTAACGAACCCCTCTAGCTTTCTGGGAACACATCTCCCCTCTTCTTTCTTTCATGTACACAATGGATGGGAAATTGAAGAGGAATCCTGGTTTCCCAGTTGCTCAGAGCAACTCAGGAGCATGTTCTGCCGTGATTATCCAGGGGTCCTGCAACTAATAGTTAAAGCAGAGCAGTCGGCTCTCCTGTGGGAAACTCAGCAACCCCCTGGCTAGTGCTGTGCTTGTCTCATGCAGTGGCAGGTCTAAATACCCGTCTGCTGTTACTAACACAGCTTTACCATATGTGAAGCTGTAATAAGTAGGAACTGTACCAGGAACAAATGCACGTGGCTAGATCAGAGCAGCCCTGAGCTGGGGCAGCACAGGTAGTGCCTGTGCAGCAGCAGTGATCTCAGGGCCAGCTGCCTGCCTCCGGTGCCCTCCCACTGGCCAGGAATTTGGCAATGCTGCCCTTCACTGAGATTTCCCAAACTCTGGCTTGTTATCCAGCTGTGACCTTTGCTTGCCTTGTGCTGCATTACTACAGCAATGCCACACGTGCATCATTCACAGGTCTGGCAGGCAATGCATTTCTTTGCAGCACAGTGGTGACTTCTCCAGTGGAGCAAGGCAGAGTTGCTCTCTTCTTGTGGCTCTCTTGCCTGTGATGTGTGTGACTTTCCGGGCAGGGAGAAGGCATCTCCTGATGCTGACTTACTGCTGCTCGGGGGAATTCCCAGGTTTTCTGCAAGAATTTCATTTAAAGTCCCTGACTTTGCTTGTCCCCATCCTCCTGCTGGGTGACTTCCAGGCTCATGCCTCTGCTGTGCTTTTGGTGCTGTTTGCTCTGGAGGCCTGTACCCTGGACGGCTACATCGCAGCTGTCTATGAGCACAGTGTGGTGCTGTCAGAGGACACTGAAGTGCCAGTTTCTCCTGAGGAGGCCTTGATGCTGATGGACAAAAATCTGGCAATTTTGGCAGTGGCCATAAAAGAAGCTGCCAGACAGGTAATTATGACTCATTACAGACATTTATTTATCTTCTTAATGGTCTTTTTTGGGCTTTTGTTTTGGTATCAGAATGCCCCCATCATTGTGACACCTGAAGACGAAATTTATGGCTGGGTCTTCACCAGGGAAACAATCTACCCTTATCTTGAGGATATCCCAGACGCACAGGTGGGCTGGATTCCCTGTGCTGATCCTGGAAGGTATTGTTCCTGCTTTGTATGGGGAATGGTCCAAGGAGAAAGACGGCTACTGTTAGAGTGGTTGTTGATAGTTTTATATATCTTGGAAGAGCTGCTATGAAATGAATCAAGGTTGGGCATCCTGTAGTTGCCATAAATAACTTTAGACAGCTTCCTTCCTCATTTTTATCTGTCTTTTTTTTCTCAGTATATTTCTTTCTATTTTAGTTAGTTTACTTGGAAAGGTTGAGATTTATTTCAAACAAAAACCAAAAACTTACAGAATCTACTTTTCAGTAACGTATTGCATGCACGTTTTAGAAAATGTTTAAGATACAGGAATATTAGGACTATTTATGAATAAAATAGCAGCTATTACGGCAAACATGTACTGCACAATTTCAAACATATTTTTTAATCATGATTTGGTAGGCTTTTTATCCTGTCATTTTCCTTAATAAATGGCACCAATTTTTGAAGCGTCAGTGTTTGGCAAAAGAGAGCAAAATGCACCACAGAAGAAGCAAATCCTATGCTACTTCTGCACAGCAGCCAAATTGAGAGCTGAAGTAGAATAGGTGAGATTAGCCCTGTGTTGGTGTAACATCAGTGCTGTGTGCACACTAGCAGCAGAAGGGAGACTCGAAAGTGCAAGAAATCTCCTGTTTGCCTGAGTTAATGTTAGGTGAAGCTGGAGTTTCAACACACTGAGCTTGGAAGCACAAAACCACTGCCTTCTGTTGAATAGCAGAAAACGAGAATCTCTTATTAGATATGACTAACTTAAACCTATAATTCATGTGATCTGGAGTTTCAGTGTTGGTATTTTTATGGATTAACTGATTTTATATTTTATATCCTTTCTTCCTTCCCTGCTGTTTAAGTTTGCTCCCTCATTTGTGCTGGAAAGACTGAGCTGCCTGGCAAGAAATAACTGTGTCTATGTGGTTGTGAATATGGGAGACAAGAAGCTGTGTAATTCCAGTGATGCAAGGTGCCCAAGCGATGGTCACTGTCAGTACAATACCAACGTTGTCTTTGGCTTGAAGGAAAACTGGTGGCTCGTTATCACAAGGTAAGATGATTTTACAATGTTCAGGGGTGCATCATCCTCTAGTGATTAAAGGTATGAAACAGAAGCTCCTTCCCAGGCTTAAATGTATTTGTACATGGAGTCATTATAGAGCAGGTGTCAGAGGGCAGGTAAAGCCACTGCATTAAAATAAGGAAGTGCAAGGTCCTACATCTGGGTCGGGGCAATCCCAGGCACAGCTACAGGTTGGGCAGAGAAGAGATTCAGAACAGCCCTGTGGAGAAAGACTTGGGGGTGTTGGTTGATGAGAAAATGAACATGAGCCGGCTTCAGTGTGCACTCGTAGCCCAGAAAGCCAACTGTATCCTGGGCTGCATCAAAAGGAGCATGACCAGCAGGTCGAAGGAGGTGATCCTGCCCCTCTGCTCTGCTCTTGTGAGACCTCACCTGGAGTATTGTGTGCAGTTCTGGTGTCCTCAACATAAAAAGGACATGGAACTGTTGGAACAAGTCCAGAGAAGGGCCACGAGGATGAGCAGGGGACTGGAGCACCTCCTGTATGAAGACAGGCTGAGGAAGTTGAGGCTGTTCAGCCTGGAGAAGAGAAGGCTGCGTGGAGACCTCATAGCAGCCTTCCAGTATCTGAAGGGGGCCTGTAGAGATGCTGGAGAGGGACTCTTCATTAGGGACTGTAGTGACAAGACAAGGGATAACGGGTTAAAACTTAAACAGGGGAAGTTTAGATTGGATATAAGGAGGAAATTCTTTCCTGTTAGGGTGGTGAGGCACTGGAATGGGTTGCCCAAGGAGGCTGTGAATGCTCCATCCCTGGTAGTGTTCAAGGCCAGGTTGGACGAGGCCTTGGGTGACATGGTTTAGTGTGAGGTGTCCCTGCCATGGCAGGGGGGTTAGAACTAGATGATCTTAAGGTCCTTTCCAACCCTAACTGTTCTATGATTCTATGATTCTGTGTTTTCATTCCTGCTATTCTAAATTTAATAGCAAATACTTAAATTAATTAAATCTCAATGAGCCCTATATTTTTACTGCTTTTCAATAGGGAGTGACACATGAGATATTCAAACATTAATGTCCTAAACTCTTGCAAACTAAATACAAATCCCCTTCGCTGGTATAGATCAGAACCACGGATATTTGTGCTTGACTTCTCTTGCAGTGGTATGAAGTGTCCTTTTAGAAATTAAGATATAGCATGTTCACAAACATATTCTCCTTTACTTGCATTTAAATGAATATTGTATTCAATATTAGTCTGATTTAAGTGGTTTGATTTCTTTTCTAAAATATTTGTCTCCATTCCTTCCTTTCTATGAACAGTACAACCTTTTTGTGACAGAGAAACAGTTTAATTACCCTAAGGATCCAGAATTTGTGACTTTCAATACATCTCTTTGGCTACTTAGGCATTTTCACTTGTGCAGACATACTCTAACACGACCCAGCTGTGGTCTTGGCAAGTAGATTTCAGGTTGACACCATTCTGTTCCCAACTGCTTGGGTTAACACTCTTCCACTGCTGTCAGTGGTCCAGTTTCACTCAGCCTGGGCCATGGGAATGGGCATCAATTTTTTTTCAGCAAATTTGCACAACTCCACTTTAGATGTGACAGGTAATGTGATATTGCTCTAATTGATCTTGTTGATGTGTGCAACATTTATATCCGTGTATTGAGTCTGCCTGAGCAGAAGTTCCCATCAGCTTTAGGCATGCATATGTATCAACAGGATTAGGACAAAAGAACCTGTACATATAAAAAGGAAATCAAAATGTGATTTATAAGAACTCAGAAATGCTTAAGTTGATTAGAACACCTTTAGTTATTTGTTAAATGAGTTTATACATGTGATTCTTCATCTTCTGTCCCTGGTGTTTATCGGTGTTTTGGTCATGTGAAGGCCCAAACTTTTTTTCTCCACTAGGTGGAAACCTAACTCTGAAATATTCTTGTGAGTCCGGAAAAGCACTTCAGGGCTGGATTCCTTGCCTCAAGTTTTCTTTGCAGGCTCGGTT